ATCTGGAAGTAACTATGTTTCATAGTCATAGGATGGAGTCATTTCAGATTAGCAAAATGGGTGATCAGTGTGTAGTTACCATCCTTTCCCCCACTGAAGTTGGTTCTGGAATCAAGATTGTGCAAATGCGCATGTGCATGTAGCTGGCAAAAAGTAAATTATAGCCAAACTGCTAGCTGCAAGGGAGTCTAGGAAATAAAACAACTTTTATTTGTTTTTCAAGACAGAGTTTATTTGTGTAGACCTGGCTGTCCTGGAACTAGCTCTCTACAGAACTAGTTGGCCTTGAAGTCACAGAGCCCCATCTGCCTCTGCCTCCTTTGTGCTGGGATTAAAGGCGAGTGACACCACCATTCAGCTAAAATAGCTTTTCAAACTGTATTACAGAAAGGTACCAAAGAATTTTTCCCTTCCGTAATATTTAAAAATAATGTTCATATAAAAATAAGCTCATTAAATATGGGCTAAATGGCTTAACTAATGCTTGATAAAAAAAAAAAAAAGGCACGATTGAGAGATGGTGACCTCAAGTTAGGCCAGAGTACAACATTCTGTACGCCTAGAATCCTGTGTTTCTGTCATTTATTTCACTTTGTGAATATACCCTTGTGTGTTTAGAATGCTTTCAGATTCAAGATTATTTCAGCTTAATAGTTTCCACTGTTTCTACTACGATAGAACCATCTTAAAACAAACATGCTCAGTCTGTTTGTTAGCAGTAAATTTTCATTAGAAATGAGTTTGGGAGGGTGGACAGAAGCTCCCAAAGGCCAAACTCTTAATCGTTCCGGCCTCCCGTGGCTCTTGCCGTCACCTCTCTTTGCAGGCTTGTTCTTGAAGATACTGACAGCTTGATTTCTCTGGGTAATGTCGTACAAAGGAAATTAGCTCAGTATGTCTTCTACTGAATTCCATCTGTAGCTCAATGTTCTAAGGTATTTGTGAATGTGGCTACAGAGCAATTTTGATAAGACAAGGCAATGTTCCAATATCTGAGAATACTCCTAAAAATTTTTTTTTTTATTTTTAAATTTCACTGAACACCCTGGAAATCCACCCACGCATGAGCAATCTCCTGCAATATTCAGAGTGCTTTTCAGGTGTCACAGACATAATAACAGGTGCTTCCTCTGGGGAGAAAAAAATATGGCAAGGAGAGAGAGGCAGAAAGCAAACTGTTGGGATATTCTGGGTACAACTTCCCTCAAGTGAATCATTCCCATATGCCTGCTTTTGCCGTGGGCCCCTTGGCAAAGGAAGTGATTTGTGTGAACGGAGGCGGAGAGATACATTCTGGTGGCAAACTTAAGTAGAGCCCATCCTTGGCAAATCCAATTGGTTGTTAGCTATTTGTCAAGCCACTCTGCCGTAAATACCAAAACGCAAGGTTTGAACATAGAGTTGATACCTGCTTTTGTTCTTCTTATAATATATGTATAACCTTGCATGAAAATAAAGTAATACTTGTGTAAGGCAAGATGGCTTCTGAAATTATGCATAAGTACATTTAAATATAAGCTTATAAGAAAATAGAGACTAGGGACACTTGCCAAAGGTGGTCATTTGATTCACTTTATGAGAAATGCACATAGCTTCAAGCACAGGCATTTACCCTATTGTGAACATTTGTTATTTGGAAGATGAAAGTCTGAACTAGTGAAAAGGACTTCATTTACAGATGGACATATAGCAAACCTGGGAATTAGGAATTCTTCTCCCCCCATAATGTGTAAGATTAGCTTTCTTATCAGTTGTGGGTAAAACACGCCTTTCTTGCTAAAAAGCTAGATACTGTTGTTCTCATCTCTAAACCAAAATCACCGAGGGATAACGGGGAAACATATGTACAGGAAGATTGCTAATGGAAAACTTGACCTATTTGAGAGGAACAATGACACTGGCAACAGAAGGAAACATAGTTGTAAGCTCATTAATTAGGGCCACTCTAAATTGGACAGTGGTGTCATTTTTTTAAAAAGATATCTCTCTGCCTCAGTTTGTTTATTTCGTATTTTTTGATGGCAAGGATGATTGGAACTATCTGTTAGGGATTACATGCAAAGAAAGCACTTTGAATGACAGCTGGCACCAGTAAACATTTGATAAACTGTCTTCCTTCCCCTCAAATCACAGGAGACCCGGGACTTTGTTTATCTAATCCTGTATTTCTAGCATCTTTTTTTTTTGTGTGTGTGTGTGTGTGTGTGCACAAGGAGGTCCATAGATATTTCTTGAATTGATTAATTAAAGTAACTGCATTTTGGAAGTCAGAGAAAATGTCTTTGGACTGGGGATGTAGCTCAGGGGTAGAATGCTTGTCTAGCGTACAATGTGCCTCCAAGAATTTGATTCCTAGTTTCAGGGATGGGGAGTGAAAAAAAAAAGAAAAAAGAAAAAGAAAGAGCATTTCCCTGGAAAATTTGTCCTAGGTTTCATAGCTGGGGAAAAAAACAAATAGATTTCAGTTTGGGGTCACTTAGGGAGCTAAGAGAGATCCCTAGACAAAAATGAGAAAACTCAAACCTAGTGTAGTCTTTTAATTCTTTAAGTGTTTGGACTAAGACTTTCTTCTTAGCTTAGCCCGGCATAGTGGTGCACATTTGTAATCTCAGCATTTGATCAATTGAGGCAGGAGGACTGCTTCAAGTTCAAGGCCAACCTGTGTTAAATAGTGACTCCTTAGGAGGAGGGGAGGAGACATTCTTAATTTATAAAATGGAAATGAAATGATGACTCCAAAAGGATTCTGAGAATTAAAGACTTATGTGACAATTCTCAGTAAAATATAAAAACATGGTACTGTTAATTTTTACATCAGTGAGTTTGTACACTGAGTAACAATAAAATCATTCTTTAGTGTTGGAAGAAAGAACCTTTAGCTAAAGATTTAAGCACTAAAAATATTCAACCCCAGAGGTACCACAGACATAGACTAATTTTTTCCATCTGTGCAGTTTAGGGTAGATTTGGCATACACTCAATACCAGGAAAGAAAGAAACTATGGTTTAATCTGCTTTTAGAGGAGAGAGAGAGAGGGAGGGAGGGAGGGGGGACAGAAAAGGAAAATATTTCCTTTTATGAGCATGAATGTTAAAATATAGAGCCTTCATCAAGCAATTCAGTACTGAAGCAAGAACATGCAATCCATTTCCTCCCAACCTCTGCAAGCTACAGTTAGTTGTTTTCTATATCATGGTTTATATATTATGGTCACTGCCTTCTTACCAAAGGGAAGTAAATATATAGAAATGTAAATATAGATTATTCTTAATCAGTCCCATGTGACTCAGAGGTCAAAAGATCAGTCCCTAGTAGGATAATCTCCATAAAATACTAACATTTAAGGACCTGTTTTAATTTTTTTTAGAGCCAGGGGTTATTAAAAACATTATAGCTTTAAGACTGGGTCCCACTCAAGATGCCTCAACAGAGTATGGGGTTGAGAAACTGGTTTGAGGAAAAGATAAAGTGGCAGAAAAATCCACAGCAAGTGAGTTGATGACCCACTGTCATTTCCTTGAAGGTCAGGAATGGAGAGGTGGGAGGGAAAAAGAGGCAGTGCCCCTGAAGACCAGAGGCTCTCTGAAAGACAAGAGATTGGGGAGCTTCAAGATGTACATGGGTTTAGAGGGTGAAGAAATACCATTTTCACAGGCAGGTTAAGCCCCTCAAGGAAAGAACATTAGAAAACTCAACTTGATTGTACTTTAAAAGAACTATTGTCCTGAATCTGGTCATTTTATTCCCAAAACTTCAATAACTACATTGTTTCTGGGTGAAGCTTAAACTAGACAATGACAAACTGTGCTTCATCTTGAATTCATCCTTAATATTTCCTTACAGGGTATGGGGACCACTTATAATTTCCCAAGTAAGCAAGATAATTTTATCTCCTCACCCATTTCTTCCTATGTTCTCTGTCCTGAACGCTCACCCCAGCTGGCAAACTCCTGTGCACAGAGCCTGTCAGGTATTGGTTCTTCTTTCAGAGTTTCTCAGCGCCCACTCTTTGCTCTCACTCGGGATGACAGTGCTTTGTCTGGGGCCACAGCACTTTAAGCGTGCCTTTGTTAAGTCACTTGCTGCTGGGAATTCGAGCCTTTCCCCAACCCCTGAGTTCTCCCAAGTCAAGTGCGAACAGATTATTTTGCAGACCTTGCCACATGACAGGAGACTAATACAAATTGCTGAATAGAATAATTCATTAAGAGAATTAAAAGACAACAAGTGCATAGATGATTTTAAACCTATGAATTATGCCAGGACCAGAAAGCAAATGCTTATCTACACACATACATGATTCTGCTTTGGTCTTTCCAGACGATGTAATTGCTTTGATTTTTTTTTTTTTTTTGCTGTTTCTTTTAAATTTGACAATTTATTAATATATGATTTTCTTGAAGGCATTTACTTAGTAAAACATGTGACCATTCATAAATATTTGCTTAAATGTTCATAGTAGCTTTGTTCATAGCAGCAAAACAAAAATAAAAATAGAAAAAAAACCCCCAGAATCAGCACCCTATCCATCAATTGATGAAAGGAACAGTCTATGACAAAGGTAGACAGATGGTTATTTGGTGCAAGAGCATGGAGCACACTTAAAAACATAATGCTAAATTAAAGGAAGTAGCTGGTCTGGTTTTCAGGGGCTGAGCAAAAGGGAAATAGCTTGATTGCTCAAGAGCATAAGAAGCATAAAACACAATCCTGCAGGGAGGGGTGCCCTGGAAGAAGGGGCACTTTGGAGGGAGAGGTGCTCTGTAACTTTATTGTTGTGGATACATTTTACTTGTATTTGTTAAAATTTACTGAACCCATAAATATTATAATTGGGGAGTTTTATTTATGAAAAATCATATATTAATAAAATATCTTAAATAATAGTATTACTTGATGTACATATACGTGAAGTCTATGTGTGGCCAGTTTTGTAGTTTATAACTATTGCCCTATGAAAATAACATGAACTTGTATTTCTGCATTTGCCCTTTTTCAGCTATGAATCACAATTGCAGCCCACTTACACAAGCCCACTTCTTGCTACTACGAAAGTGACCACATGAGACCAGAACACACGGTATGTCATTATGTTGTACATATTCTTGTTTGAATCAGGCAGCTCAAAAGTTAATTTTACACTCAGAGGTCAAAGAAAGCACCAACAAGGCAGTCTTATTTAACTACCTCTGTGCAGAAGTTTCCAGAAGAAGCTTCCAGAACACTTCTAGAAAGAAGTCTGTTCTGCTGCAGTAGTTCTCACTAACACTTCAGTACCAGAAGTTTCCACATTTGAATTAGTCTCATTGCAAGCCTTCAAGTGATCAAGATTCAGAATCCAGAACAACTGATATTATTTTGCTAATATATCTTTTTTTTATAGAGGGATATCAATTTCATTTAATTTTCAAAATGGTTTATACAAAAAGAAATACTAAACAAATAAAGAGGGATATAAAGTAAACAAAAAATAGTACTTGGTGCTTCTAATGTGTTGGCTTATTCTGTGAGATTATACTTGTTAGTATCTTTTTTTTAAATTTATTTTTTTAAATTACACTCATGATATTAATCACATTTGTGGTATTCATAGATTACATTCACAGTATTCATTCAAATATATATATATATTTAATTTTAAATGTTGAAGGTCATTTCTTGAAGGGGGTAGGAGGTCTTAAATACAGGCTTACAGCACAATGGGAGGACCCTGGAGGGCAGAAGTTCGCTACAGATGTTTTACAATCTTGCATCTAAGCTGTTAATGCCCATTATGCAGGATACACAGACAAGGAACTTCCCTTAAGCATTCAGGAGAATGGAACCTGGCAGGGAATTAGCATTGGGAGGATATCAAGGTCAAGGTCCGCAAGCAAGTTACCCAAAACGGGGGGCCAGGGCCCTGCAGGTCCCCCTTTTATTAAAAAATGAGCTTCTGCCTG